GTAGTTGGTTAAAGTGTGTCTTTAGTTAATGTAGTACTGTACAAAACATGTTCGTTCACTTAAAAAGTGTTTAATGTGAACAGCCGACGAGAAATAAAATCTATGGATATTTCAAATGTCATCGAGGCTAATGGCGAGTGTTTTATAATGACAAAAACAACAAGAAATAAAGGGTCGATGGTCACGACTCTCACGGCGCAATAGATTTGATTTAGAGAAACAAAACAACAAAATTAAATAAGATGTTTTCTTTGTTTTCTCTACATAAGTAAGATAAACACTTTGACACGTTTTTGATGTCTGAGAAAAGTTGAAATATTGTTTTCTAAAAGTTTTTTCTTTAATTCTAGAAATAATGCAGTGAAATAAGTTTTCGTCTAGAATTTAAACAGTTGATAAGAACATTGCGGTACTAAAATATGATTTTAAAAACTTGATGACTGAATAAAAACCATGCCGCAACGCTTGAATCGGGCCTTGGTTGTAAACTACCTTCTACAAACAATCCCACCCGACTTATGAAGACCGCAACAACTTGTATCATGATGGAAAAGGTGCCGGTCCCCGCAATAGAAGAGAAACAAACACTGAAAACTTTGTACAATGAGTTTGGTGAGATGTCTACAGTCCATGGCGTGAAGAGGGCTATAGTAGGGCGCCACTGTGTAGAGAAGTTCATCTGGACGCTGCTTGTCACCACAGGGGGCGGCCTGGCTTTCTACCAGTTCATAAGCATTGTTCAAGAGTTCCAAACTAACCCGGTTTCCACCGTTGTGTCCATTGAGTACGAGCAACATATGGAGTTCCCAGCCGTCACTATATGCAACCTCAACAGGGTGAAAATGTCCAAGGCCAGCGCCTCTATTATGGAGATATTTAACCGAAGTCGCGAGGTAAGCTATTCTTTTGGCAAGTTTATTACGCGGTAAGGTATTTCTTTGTTGAGTTTATCGCGAGGTAAGCTACAAATGGCCGAATTTATCGCGAGGTAAACAATATCTTAGGCGAATTTATCGCGTGGTAAGCTACTTCATATGCGAGTTTAATACTCAGACCTACCCTCGATAACATATCTGTGATAACATAGTTTAAGAAAAACCGCTGTACACAGCATATAGAAACAGTTTAGTAAAACGAGCTGCCACAATTGAATCCAGCCAACGTCTAATTAACAATGTCCAATCTATCAATCATGTAAATGCCCTTTGTTTAAAGTTAAATAAAAACTTAGTCTCTTCACACAAGATTGAAAAAAGGAGAAAAACTTGACAAGAAAAAGAATGCTCCAAGACATGATAAATTATTTCTGTCAATTTTACAGATGAACGTTTCAGTGGAGAGCCAGGAAATGGAATTTGATATCCTGATGTCAACCATTTCTCACCCAGATAAAATTAGCTTGGGTCACAAGCTGGAAGACATGTTGATTGACTGCAGGTTTAACGGGGTAAGATATTTCACACTAGGTCAGTGCATCTAATATATAAAAATATCATCAGGGAGTCGAGTTTGGTAAAGACCTGTTGTTGTGGTATTCATATGTTCTCTAGAAAACATTTTGAAACTACTACAACTCGAAACACTATATCTAGCTCTAATCCTACCAGCCTTAAGGGTAAAGAAACAACATGACTTTAAGAACATATCGTACTCAGTTGCCGATACACAGACCTACAAAATGCCCAAGTATGATCGATGTGATTTTAAAATGGTAATCTTTAGCCAAGACCAGAGGATTTATGCTGTCAATGGCCAAGCTTCAGTAATGTAACATGTCATATCGTCCCAAACTAGCTAGTTTTAAACTGGGCCAGATGGTATATTCAGTAATGTAACGTGAATGTCATTCCATCCCAAACTAGCAAGTTTTACACTGGCCCAGATGGTACATTCATAATGTAACGTGAATGTCATTCCATCCCAAACTAGCAAGTTTTACACTGGGCCAGATGGTATATTCAGTAATGTAACGTGAATGTCATTCCATCCCAAACTAGCAAGTTTTACACTGAGCCAGATGGTAGATTCAGTAATGTAACGTGAATGTCATTCCATCCCAAACTAGCAAGTTTTACACTGGGCCAGATGGTATATTCAGTAATGTAACGTGAATGTCATTCCATCCCAAACTAGCAAGTTTTACACTGAGCCAGATGGTAGATTCAGTAATGTAACGTGAATGTCATTCCATCCCAAACTAGCAAGTTTTACACTGAGCCAGATGGTATATTCAGTAATGTAACGTGAATGTCATTCCATCCCAAACTAGCAAGTTTTACACTGAGCCAGATGGTAGATTCAGTAATGTAACGTGAATGTCATTCCATCCCAAACTAGCAAGTTTTACACTGGGCCAGATGGTATATTCAGTAATGTAACGTGAATGTCATTCCATCCCAAACTAGCAAGTTTTACACTGAGCCAGATGGTATATTCAGTAATGTAACGTGAATGTCATTCCATCCCAAACTAGCAAGTTTTACACTGAGCCAGATGGTATATTCAGTAATGTAACGTGAATGTCATTTCTTCCCGAACTAGCAAGTTTTACACTGAGCCAGATGGTAGATTCAGTAATGTAACGTGAATGTCATCCAGTCTTACGCTGTGCCAAACAACTTCATGCATGCACACATACAGTAAAATAACTAGCACCATGTTTATCTTACTTCTTTTACTAATGCTTAGGTTTTCAAAATGTTTTTTTAATGTAGGGACTATATTTTGGTTTGTAACTTGTGTTTTTTTAATTAATCAGGAAAGGTGCACCTCGAATGACTTTGCTCAACTGTACAACATTAAATACGGAAACTGCTACACATTTGGACAGACCAAGTATGATAACAAAACTAAATGGTGAGGACTGATATTTTTTATTTGGTCTTAACTTCACCAGTCGTCCACATATGTCGACTTGGGTGAAGATAGATTTAATAAACCGATTTCCTAAAAGAAAGTGTTGTTTATTTCGAACAGACGGAGACAATGATGGGGTAAGAGGAAAGCACCAATAGCTATATTACAAAAATAAAAACATTGTATTTTACTAGCCATCTTTTGAATAAATAATTGCACAAACTTTAATTATTTTAGATCCGGTCAATTCTTTTGAAATCAATATTATAGGAGAGGTCTGACAATGCTGTCAATTTCTTAAACTGAGGGATATTGAGGACTTCTGAATGAAATTAATTGCAACAATAGTCAGAGTTTATTACAAAGCCTAAGAAACTGCGAAATAAATATTTTTAATGAAGCTTTTCGTGTATAAAAAAATAATGTATTTTTGTACATTCAAAGAAGTTTCCTTCATGACTGGCAAGAGCATTGATATTTTTAGTCATAATTTATCATTTCAGTGTACACATTTACATTCTAAAAAAAACTACTGAAGCTTTAAGTACAGTTGTATCAATGATTGTATATACCAGGTACACCACAAAGACTGGCCCAGCTAATGGTCTGATCCTTGAAATGGACATAGAACAGAACGATTATCTCCCCTTGACGCCTTCTGCTGGTATTAAGGTTCTGCTCCACCCAGGATCTGAGATCCCTTTCCCTGAGGACGGTGGCATCACTGTTGGCCCAGGGTTTGTTACCAATGTTGGGGTCAAAAAGGTAAAACAAGGTCAAGGCTTTCCCATAGGGGCCATGGTGCACCAAAATAACCAACGCCATTGATTTACAATAAAAAATATCAAGTTCATTCATTACTTTTAATTTAACAGCTATAATGCTAATTGTATTGCATTACATTTTAATTAAAATGAAGCAATTAAAGCAGATTACCTGCCTTTTAATTTAAAATATAGAGGAAAAAATATACAGGTAATATTTGTTGACTCTTGTTCATTTAACAGAGACAATGCTGATTGTATAATTTTATATCTTAAGTAAAAGCTGATAAACTTCTCCTGTAATAACGTCATCTTTTGATAAAAATTCTCAGGAAGAAATCCACAGACAGCCTGCCCCCTATGGCTCGTGTGTACAGTTCAACAAAGCAGAAAATTTACAGAGGAACATGTTTGCAGCCTATGGTTACACCTACACTGACAACGCCTGCAAGAAAACCTGCTACCAGGCCCGCGTCTACAACATGTGCAGCTGCTGTGATGTGGACTACCCCTGTATCAAGAAAGCACTCCTGGACGTGGATGTCAACGAGAAGATATCCATCTGCAACACGTCCAACCAGACCGTGCTGGAGTGTGTGGACCAGGTGGAGAGACAGTTCTGGACAGATGAAAGGGGGTGTGTCCAAAGCTGTCCACCAGCATGTGACCAAACTATCTACGACACTGTCATCTCTTCAGCTGCGTGGCCTTCTCTCAACTTTGTTGACAGTTTTATTTGGAATTTAAACAAGGCTGCGGCAGCTAGAAACAGGACTTACAGTTTTGGGGGGAACAAGCAGGAATTTGTACAGAACAACTGTTTAAAGTTACAAATCTACTACGAGGTGTTGAACTATGTTGTGATAAAAACAAATCCAGCGTACGACTGGAACAAGTTGCTGAGTGACATAGGAGGACAGCTAGGGCTATGGATGGGCTCTTCACTGCTCTCTGCCATTGAGCTCTTCCAGTTTGTCTTTGAGATGCTGGCTCTACTTGTATGTAAGATTTTCAGGAATAGGACAGTAGCAAGTTTAGAGCCAAGTACCACAAGTAACTAAAAAGTTGACCAGGACAGGCTTAACAAACCAGATAAGTGTTGCAGAAAGACTTTCCAGATTTTAGATTCTGAAGTGATAAAGTTTCTTCTATTGTTGGATTCATGTTTACCTAATACCTCTTTACAAGATGACTGTTTTTATCTACTTGTGCTTTTTTTCTGCTGTTGTATAAAGTTTTTTGTGATATAAGTCTTGCACAACAGATAAACTGCACAACTTTTAAGTTATATTTTTAATATGATGACATGAGGCAGTGCCAGCTATTATACCACATAATGAATGTTATGAGGCAAGAATCAAGTAAAATATGACAACAGACCTGATCTTCACTGAAAGACGACATAGATAGATTAGCCACACTGGCAGCATCCTCCAGCTCGTCCAGATGTTCTTCCATTGTCTGTGGCATCAGCTGGAGCTCTTCCTTTGATTTAAAGTCCAAGGCAAAAAGGTAGGGTGGGAAGATTATACCCAGAATCACCTGATGATCCAGATAGAAGAAATATGTATAAATATGAGCTGGCTAAACAGCAGGTTGTTGTATCAGGGTTAGCAGGATCTTGTTAGAGAAAAATTATCGGCTTTCAAAATTTATTTCAGAAAGTTAGCTATGTAATAAAAGAGATTTTAATTTTTCTTATTTAAATGATATAGTTAAATTAGCAGGATCTTGTGAGAGAAAAATCATCAGCTTTCAAAAATTATTTCAGAAAGTTAGCTATATAATAAACAAGATTTTAATCTTTCTTATTGAAATTAAATAGTTAAGATAGCCAGATGCTAACCATCAATGAATTTTTACTACTTGGACTATTCTTCATGTTTTGAATTTTTAAATCTTATTTTACATAAAAAAAATAATTACTCAGACTGTTTAGTTTTTATTTATTTAAACAGTGTTAATATAAATTATAATCAACGTATGTAGTGTTTTTATTTAAGTTTTTTCAAAAAGGGAATCATAAAATAAATTCACAATATGTAAAGCAATACCCAAGCCAATGAGTGACTGACCTTAAGACTAGTGTTTTTTCTCATGCGCAAGCCACCAATCCACAGATCATTGAGCAGAACTTGACAACAGGTGTGAGCAATAAACTGTCTATGGTTGGCTATGACTGCCAGCCCCAGACATGTCTGTTCACTGAAGTTCTTCAACTCATAGGTCAGCAGCTGCTGTGTGTAGTCATCATCAATCTTGTAGCAATGGCCCAGCAGCTCCAAGGCCAGGCTTAGAAATTCACTGTTGATAAATGCATAAATTGTTCTTAGTTTTAGAGACAAATTAAAAGAAAAAAGTAACCTTATAGTTTATACTCTAGGAGGAAGTAGAGTTCATCACTTTTTCTGATCAAGGCATGAGAGGAAATTGTATAGTCAGTACCTTTCCCCACTTTTACCAGCCACTCTAGTTAGGCATGTCTAGCCCAAGATCTTAATTCCTGACTGCCTTTTAGCAATCCCAAAGTAACCATTGTGATTAGACATGTGTCCAAAAACTTCTATTATAAATAATTGTGTGAGGTAGCCAAAAACTAAAAAAGTTTATAAAAACTTGTTCCAATTTTCAATGAATGTTACATAAAATTTAATAAACTCCACAAATACACAATCTGAATGACAACACAATCTTACTCAGCGTAGTGACGGAACTCTTCTGACAATTCTATCTCCAAGTCATCTTGGTCAGCTTCATGTGCCATTGCAGCATACAACTTCCCAGCTAACAGAGCCTGTCAACAAAAATAGTTTTGTGAGATAACAAGTGCCACTAGGGACTTACAATTCTGTACCTAAATTACCATTGAATAATTTAATAACTTTGCTGAGATCATTTCAATATTTGTAGGTCTATGGTTTGATACTCAATAATTCTTGTATGCTGACTAGGAGTTATATATTATTTTTATTTCGACTATGCCTTTTTAAATACATAATAGGAAAAACAACTTATACCATTTTGTCTGGACACTAAAAAAATTATGTCAAACTAGCATAAAAATTACACTGTTTAGAATACTAGAGAATCTTTTAGTTTTAGATGTTTTTTAACTGCTTGACATGGTACCTGTGCATACCTCCTTTAAACCTTTGTCTTGTAAACTCACCTTAGCTAGAGCCTCCTCCCCATGCTGCCACATGAAGAGAGCCATTTTTTGTCTCTTCATGAGGACAGCCCAGATCATGAGATCATGGAATGGATATGGGAACAGTTCTTCTGCTTGCTTGGTGTTCATGAGATGAGGGATAGATGTAACAATGTTGCCCACAGATGTTCCCTAAAATTTTAAACAAATAAACCATTTAATTATTGGTTATTGAATTGTAAATAAGCCTGGTTAATTGTTTTTATTAATAGTTTACTCTGAGGATTATTATAACTTTTAGTATTTTGATATTTTAAAATTAACAGCATATTTTTAAATTAGCTAAAATTTTACAAATAATAATACATAAATGTATTAAAATAAATAACTGCCATTTAGTCCATCAATTTTTTGACATACACAATTCAAAAAATCAAAAGTGCAAACACAGAAAAATATATCTGCTTAACAAAAGGATTGGGGTAAGGTTATATCAGAAAATACATTATCTTGGTTAAGCATGGATTTTAATTGATCAGCTATAAGCTCTTGACCAATTTTATAAATATACATTTTAAACAAAATAATCATGAAATTAATACATTTGTTTTTACTAAGAATTTAACTACTTCATTTTAAAAGTAATTTGATTACAATTTAGTGTATCTGGAATAATGATCCATAATATAATAACTTTTAAACTATGCTAGTTAGAGAAAAGAAGCTATAAAAAATATTTTAAAAATCTGTCTTGGTCTGTTATGCACACAAATTACCAGTATGTTTATATACATCTATTTACATCAACTCAGCAACATCAATAAACAAATTATAAACAAATGCAGTCATTGAGACACAGGGCAAGATATCTGGTAGAAATAAACCATTACAAGCAAAAGATGCAATATTGGATATAGCTAAAAATCCACAGCAACTAAAAAAAGTAAAGAATTTTAATAAATCCTTACAGAAAATTATTCAAGTGACAGGAACTTTTTACCAGTTGATTTCAAAGTGAACTTCTACTAAACAATCACCTTTATTATTAGTAATTTAGAAATGTAATTTACTAAGCCTTTGTTAACAGACCTACATGTTTTCTATCTAGTTTTTCATTATAAATTCATTTTTGTAAGCTGATACCAATTTTTGGGAAGAGAAATTAACTTGCTTTACTAAAACTTCTTAAAAATAAAATAAAATAAGAAAATTATAATTATTACAATGGTTTGGACTACATTTTTTGCTAAATAGAAAATTTTGTATAAATCAGTAAATTGAGAAAATGTCTGAGTTTTTAAAGGATTACTATTCTTTAATTTGTTCATTAGAGAAAGTTTAATTTTTTTTAATAAACAATAATAAAAGAGATGTTAAAAGGAAGATTTGATAATCACAATTTATCTTTAGATATCATAGTAGGGTTTTTGACAAAACATAGGTTATCTTAGCAAAAGTTAATACTGACAATTCAAAAGATATATTGTCAACTAGTAACACATATAATATGTAAGGTATATTGGAAAAGCTTGGTTAGTGGATATATAAATTATCTTGGTACCAGCAAAAATACACTCTGAAAATTCACAGCTCTTAAAAGCATTAGGTCTTTAGAGGTTTAAATTAATTTCTAAATTTAGAAATGTAATAACAGAAGTGTACTATATACTTGACCAATAATGAAGATGGCACTATCCTCATGCTCTCCTAGCTCTAAAATCAGCAGTATTTATTAAGTTATCTAGATAATAACTAGGATATACAAACATGGTAAAAAGTGGTAGCTCTGAAACAAAAATAACATGAAGGCATCAGCAAAAAACACTAGCCATATCCAGGATGTACCAAATATAAGCATCTATCCCTAGTCCCAAATCATACTAATGGAACAGGCCAAAATTTCAAATAAATAAAATGAATATAGTTCATATCAAGAATCTCATTTTTTTGGTATTGTTAACCACATACAAAACAAAAACCATATAAGATTCACCTTAGGTATTGTAAGATTTTTCTGGAATGTATTGGAATAAGATAAGAAACAGTTGATACATTTCAAAATTTAATTGGGGATAGTTACAATTTAAATTGTAAATATTGGCTGAAATAAATACACAGATTTGGAATGCTCCAATTTTTTTTCAGACATTGTAAAAGGAAGAACAGATTACTATAGCATCTATTTGCCTATGTGAATACATAGAAAATGTTCTTTGTATCAATGCTATTAAGTAACCAAGGATTACCAAAAATAACAAAACATTTAAAGTAAGGAAATGTGGAGAAAAAAAGTACCTTCACAGTCTCACAGCCCAGATAAAGAAAAAAGCAGACAGGTTAAGTGTTCGCTTTAGATAAATTATAAATTTAGAAGGACACGTTTCAGAGATTTTTTAAATTCTTTATAAAATAAAACCTTTATAGTTAACATTTTGAGTGTCAAGAAACTTGATGAGTGTTAAGATTCCAATGCTGACCATCCATGTGAGCCAGGCATGGTAAGTTTTAGAAATGAACATTCCACAGCAATTTTTAGTTTAAACAATCTAGGATTACTTACTGCACTTTTTTTTCTAGCCTAATGCGAACACCATAAAAAAGAAAACATAGTTTAAAAAAAAGAGTAATAAAGAGAAATTTTGGTTTTGAATTCTGGATTAAATTTACCTTAAAGTCTGCATAAGAGATCTACGTCAGATCGAGAAATATAAAAAGTATTATTAAATGATGAAAAAGCTAATTCTTCTTCTTTAAACAAAATGAGAATGGAACTAAAGGTTTAGCAAGTGTGTTTTCTAAATATAAATATCCTTGACAATCTCTCAAGTAAATTTACACTAAACTTTAAAAAAATTGGGTAACTTTACTACTATTAAAACTGTTATCACATTTAAGGTATGCATTAATATATAAGTATTTTTTTATTTCTTCACCAAAGTCAGAGTAATTCTTTGTTAGTAATTTTTGTGTCTGTTAGTTATACTTAAGAGATGAATTAAATTAAAAATGAATTTCCTATTCTAACCAGGGGTATAAATGATAAAACAACTTAACACACAATGTACAAACATGTGGCTGCATGTTATCCTAGATAAAAGGGAGACAAACAAGATAATGTTTTGACAAAGGAATATTAAGGTTTATATTTAGTGCCTAGTAGCAAGTCACATGTTAAAATTGTACAATATCTCAAAAAGTTTACAAGAAACACCTACTGTTTGCTTGAGAGCTTGGTACTTTTGTCTGAACCTTTTCCTGCAGTAGTAGGCTCGAAATCCGCCTCCCATCAGGTGCTGAAGAACTAATCCTATATCAGGTAGCGTGTAGCGGTAGTTGGACGGAACATGCTGAATCATTTTGTAAAATTAATTAATAACATAGCATTTATAAAGCAATAATTGAAAGCATCATTAAACATTTTATAATAACAATAAAGTAAAAAATATATTATTTGCTTGGTTATGTTTAAATAACGGATGGCATGGCCTAGTGGTAGAGCGCTAGAATGCTAACCTGAAAGTCTCGAGTTTGAATCCAGGTTCAAGTCAGAAGAATGTCCCTGAAACCACCCAGATCTGATGGGTACCTAACTCATGTTAGGGAAAGTAAAGGCGGCTGGGCATAGTGCTGACCACACTATCCTTTCATATGCTGAGGTCACAGAAACAGGTGAACATGACTTCACTAGCCCCATTGACAGACAGGTTCAAAAAGGGAATTTTACTTAACTTTTAAATACAAAACTTGTAATATCTCTTGCAATTTAAAAAAAAAACAATGATTAAAGGCAAAACCATACATTTATTACATACATACTACAAGATATCCAGGCTAGGAGAGAAAATTATTTAACATGAGTATAAGTTTCTTGTTTTTGAAAACTGATTCTTTGATGATTCCTAAATGCACATACCTTCTTCACATCACGAACAAGATATCTCAGTGTATTGGATGGAGTTTGTCTCTGTAGGTACAAATACAGCACAATTATTTTTGACAGAAATAAATTGTAATTATTGAGCATCAAGTAAAAAAATTTTTTAAACATAATCTCATTTACTTATACAAACACATATTTTCAAATAAAAGAAATACAATTTTTATCCAACAGGATGAGTTGATGTTAAAATATTCACCTAAGGTTCTTTTAAACTGTAGAGTGTATTTTCAAGATATTTAAGAAATAATTTTAATAAACTTTAAAAAAAAATGTTACTGACAGCGTTATAAAGGTCTTCAAGCCTGGGTATAGTGAGGAAAGTGTGCATGCTGACTCCATTCTCTAACAAAAGCTTCACAAAATCCACCCGGTCATTGATCAGTGCATCCATCATGGCTACCTCCAGTGCTCCTTCCTACAAAATAAATAAGGTTTAAATAAATATGCTTTCACAATAAAATCTCTGAATTTAATGTAACATATTTGTTAACTAAAATCTAGATATGGATGTTTCAGATAATAGGTTCTCAAAATGTAATCCATTACATTTTAGTATTCATTAAAATCTGTTTCTAGCTCACATAACAAGTTCTCAAACTGTCATAGTATAATAATGAACTCATTTTTTACAATTAAAAATTATTAATTATTGATCTATAAAAGTGGTAGAATTTATTGAATTTTAAAAATAAAATGCTCAGAAGTTGAAATTAACAATTTAAGCTGATAAGTGTTACATAGTCCAAACCAATCATAAGTGAAATGAAAACTTTACCGGCCATTCTTGCCCGTAGACAAATATATGACTTCTTGCAATGTCTACTCTGTCCCATGTCAAAGCAAGGTTTAACTGATCAATAGCATTGGCAGTGGTTCCTGTGATTTTTAAAGATAACTTCAGAACTTAAAATACTGATAGACTCATTTTTCTATACAATTTAAAAGGAAAAGTAAACCATAAAAAAAAAAAAAACTTGTGTTAAAAACACACTTTAATGCAACTAATTCTTCACTTGTCCTTGGTGAGCTATACTTGGCACATAGTGTGGTGAGCTTATTGTAACTGGTGGATTATTGATCTGTCACTCCATCTAAACTAATACAAGATCTATTTGATATAATTTGCCTAATCTAACCTTTCAGTAATGCTGTTAGTATGGCAAGATCAATATCTTTAGATTCTTCTCTATCACCCATCCTGAATACCGTGATCTAGATTTAAAAAAAAACAGTGCAATTATTTTATATAATGTTAATGGTTTTCTCTTATTATTTTTTTAAGGTTATAATCAAATAAAAAGACAGTAGTTATCTATAAATTAATGGAGATGTATATCTAAGGAACATTAAAAATTTCATTAACAGGCACATAAAATCCTAATTGGAAACAATTTTTATACTGAATAATATTATAAGTGTTGTAATATAATTAGCATAAAAATAAATAACAAGACAAGAAACTGTAATAATTTTTATGTATATGTGAGATTGCTGTTCATTTTAGGGAGTTGTTAATGTATGAAGAACCCGCTGCTATATTGTGCTTAACTGATTGTGAGTTAATTAATTTTCTTCTTGTTTATGATGGTTTAAAAAAACTTTTCTAAGGGGAAATACATTATTTTATACATTATTTTATGAACAATTAATTTATATATATATATATATATATATATATATATATATATATATATATATATATATATATATATATATATATATATATATATATATATATAAAGACTTCATTGGATTCATACCAATTCTTTTTTCTTGACACACAGCATCAGCTCAATAAAAAGTTTCTCTGCTTGTTCCTGTGTGTACATGAAAGTTCTTTGAATTGTCAGGATCAGCTGGTCTCTAAGTGATTCAGCCATAGTGCTAGGGTACATAAAGAAAAACCACAATAAGGTTGCCAGTCATGTGGATTGTAATTCTAAATTTTTAACTAAGAAAACAGTAGTTTAGGTAGAAAGTGACTATCTTGCTAACAATGTGATGACAAATGTGAGCACAAAGTTGATAACTAGAAGGTATAACATAGTTAAGTTCCTGGGCTTTAGTCAGTGGAACTTCCCATAATCAACCCAAATTGATGGGTATCTTAATAAAAGAGAGCTGGGCATAGCCTAGTTCATACAATTCCAAAAATATGAGGTCAAAGAGATTGGCTTTCATGTTATAATGAGATGTCAGGTCTAAAAGGATACATTTTTTAATGAAATGCAATTTACAGTTTATATTTTATACTGTGCTATTTACTGCTGATTTGTTTATAATTAACAATTATAATTAAAAATGCATGTTTTCATGAAACCTACCCATCATCCATGGTGTATTTGTGAGTGAAAGCTAAGAGATCAGCAGCCCTGCCACTCCCATCACATACAACCACAGGTACAGGGGGAGTGTCTGTGACATACTCCAGCACAGAGCGGATTGTGTTGGCGCCACCTTCTAGAACTACACAGATCACTGGCACACCATGACCACGGAAGTCATTGGCTAAAAAAATATTAAAAAATTATTTTATTTTCAATAGCAGGCCACTAAAATGAATAAATGTAAATATAATCAATGCTGAAATACAAGTTTTTTGTGACAGTGAGATGTACATAAAACAATTCCGACTCATAAAGTGTGTCTTACTAATTGTGCATACTTTAATGACTACAGATACACATTTTTATATTTAACTGTGAAAAATAAAAATTTCTTATATACAAACTTAAATTTTAATTCTTAGACTATTTTTTAATTGATGTATATACATACCAATGCAAATTTTCTGCTGAGCAATGTACTTTTCAAACTTTTTCCGGAAAAGAATTTCCCCACCATATTTTCCAACAGTGCCATTGTCAACCAGTAGGAAGTAGGAATGATTGCTGTTGAGAACTGAGGTATTTGTTTTGGTTGATGAAACACAGTGGTAAGGGACGACTATCTGAAATTGGACATTACAAAATTTTTCTGTATGAAATACACAATTATTTGCATATCAATGTTAAAACTTGTAATTTTAAAATATGATTTCAGCTATTTCACCTTGAAAAAGACATTTGCAAAAAAAAAAAAAAAGCAATTTGAGAAATCAATATTGTTATTAGCATGTCAGTCTGAGAGCGCATGTATTTGATAGCATTTCAGGAGCATTCATAAAGCTGGATACAAGAAATCAATAAAATTTAATTTAAAAAAATAATCCACCTTTTACAAAACATCTTGTATATATGTAATTAAAACAGACATGTTACAATGTGAAAATAGAGAAAAAAGTTACATCTCTTCCGAGTAGATCTTCCTTGTTTTCCACAATGCCCCATGGTGTTATTCCTATAGCCACAACCTTGTTTCTGGCCTTGGTTGTACGGTCACTTATAGCATCTCCAACATGCCTTGTAACACCTGCAATTTGAGTGTGTAGATAAATGTAACGTTTTTCACATCTAACAACTAGAGATAAAACTTTGTTAGTTTAGATTTTTAAAAAAGTAACTTACAATTTTTATTTTTAAATTTAATTGGAATATTTGGATGCTCTTCAAGAAAGAAAAAACATGCATGTAAACATAAAGTCTAGTTAAAATTTCCCACTGTATAATTTAGCTTGAGCCACACCAAAGAATGAAACACATGGTTATTTGGATCTAAAATTCTCTACAATATAGAATTTTCTTTAGAGTGATAGTTAATTTTATTTTACTTGCCTGGTGACAAACTCTTTATTTTACAATGACTAATGCTAAAACATTTTTCTACATTTCAATCTAAATTTATGTGACTGCTTTTAACAAACTTTAAATACACAAGTAAATGTCTTTAATTATTACAGTAACATATCACTTACCAGTATTAGTTCCATTGGTAACTATCCAAGCACCAGTGGTTCGAGCTGCCTTTAACAAACCTTTTCTGAAGACCCTTTTTAACTTTGGCTGAAGGTCAAAGTTCAAAATCCCTCCATGCACAGTAATCAGTAACTTGGGTAAATCAAGTCCCCAATGCTGTGTACAACAAATGATCAATAGTGAAAGCTTTTTTTTTGGTAAAGATTTATTTATTTTCTACAAGCGACAATATTTATGAATAATTAAATACTAACTGTAAGTAAATATTTCATTTTACATAAAAAATATTTAATTTTTAATTAGTTGTACTTTAAATATACAAGTAATGACAAAAGACAAAACGAACCCCACTCTGTTTATATAAATTTAACAGTCGTGTTAGCTACATCAGGGTACTGCAGCATCCTCACTGAGCAAACTATAAGAGTTGTCAGACAAAAGCTTACCTTTAAGAGCAGAGTGACGACGTTCTCCTGCCTGGTATCTAAACTGCTGAGCCTCATGTACTGGGCCTTGCTGGGGTGGGGTACTGCAGCATCCTCACTGAGCAAACTATAAGAGTTGTCAGACAAAAGCTTACCTTTAAGAGCAGAGTGAGGACATTCTCCTGCCTGGTATCTAAACTGCTGAGCCTCATGAAATGGGCCTTGCTGGGGTGGGGTACTGCAGCATCCTCACTGAGCAAACTATAAGAGTTGTCAGACAAAAGCTTACCTTTAAGAGCAGAGTGAGGACGTTCTCCTGCCTGGTATCTAAACTGCTGAGCCTCATGTACTGGGCCTTGCTGGGGTGGGGGCCGCCCTGAAACTCGATGGTCCCATAGGCGTCTGTGACCCGCTGCTCTGTGTGTTTGTATGGATGCCATTTCTCTGTACTTCCTGCTTCTAGACGGGCAGCCCCAGTCTGCATGTGCCAGTGTTCGTTGCGGCCACATGCACATCTGATAAAATTATAAAGTTGTTTCTGCTATATAATCTTTATCCCCACTTCCCTCCCAACTACCAATTTAAAACAAAAATCCATCTATCAAAATTCACAAATATTCTATTAAAAAAACATTCTCAAAAAATTAAAATCTAATTAAATTATTAATTTAGAGAAGACATTTTTTTAAAGAACGCTTCAGATTGAGCATATGTTTTTTTTCTTCAAAGCTATGAATTGAACAACAGAAATTAGGCTATATTTTACTTTTTTCCCCAATCATCATAAGAAAAACATGAGTAGGCAATGGTATGACGAATACGTTATCAGCAACACACCAGCCTAGTGGGATGACCAGAACTTAAACATCTCTGACCCAGCCTGCCTACACCGTGGTTTTTTTTTTATAAACCATCGGAGTCCGGAGTTTCTAAAAGCAGGATCGATGCGGGCTGCCAGCGCCCTATCCTTCATTTCACTGACCAATGGAGCGTTATGGCATTGATGGTTTACGTTGGACCTACGTCATGAATACATCTCATATGGGCTCGACTGGAAAATCGCAATGAAAATGAATGAGAATGACGGATCTGGTAGTCCGGCCATGGAAATAGTGTTAGTAATAGTGATTGAGCTTCTACAAGATCGTGTCATCTCGTACAAAGTGTAATAGACTCGTTTCTACAAAGAGTGCACTCGGGAAAATAGACTTGTTATTTAGAGTGGAATACTAAAAGACCTTGTTGTTTTGTACAACGTGTGGGTGGTAATGGTAGAAGTAAATGTGACTGACGTAATAGAAGATGGTGTCACGTCTTCAGGATATGAAAGTGAAGGTCTACTTATCAGAAAAGTAATTGAGATTACACATCCCAGAATATCGCGCGTTATTATAAAACCAATTAGATCTACTATTTAAAAAAAAAAGTCTTCAGCGACAAATGATTTTATTAGGTCATACGATGGTTATTTCACACATCGCTCAAATTGAATTAACTGTATGCATATAACTACATTTGAGTAATAAAATATAATAAATTTACGTTTTAAAATAGATAATTAAAAAAAAGTAGTTATTAAAAAGTCGACAGCAAAACATATGAAAGGGATGAAGGGGGTGAAGAAGTTTTATTAGTATCGCTACCATAAACGAAAACATCCATATACCCTATCATAAAAAAAAAACAACAAAAAACGACACGGTACTGCTGTGTACAACGGGCGTTAAAAAAGTTACGGTTCTGACTTCCTGTTGAGATTGTGAATCTCTAAATCCCAGCTCAGATAAAGAAAGTAATGTTATTTGTGTCCTGATATCGAAGCTAGACGGCGTGAGTATGAGGTTTTATTGGCTGGGTATTAAGACGGAAGACTTCAAGTAATCTTTCTTATTCCGGAACGCTGAGCTTTCTCTTAAGGATATCCCATGATAAAATGTTATTTGTGGTCTCTTACTCATGTTACTGGTTGCATGCAATCGTTAAGAGGATGATCTCACAATAATGTGTTGTGAACTACAGCTCGCTATTTTACGACCAATTAAATCTAATTAGCTCAATACGTGCCTTAATTAATGTAAAGCAGTATTTCAGTAACAAAACTGCAATTGTCGAAACAAAATATCGGAACATTTTAATATAAGAAAGAAAAATCATAAAGTAAAGTGCATCTTATTATATAAAGCATGCAGTTGCTATATTGAGTGTGTAAATGCTGGTCGAACTCAACGTCTATAAGGAAAGTGTTAAAAGCATATTAATAAAATCAGGCCGCTGTCGTCTTGTAGGGCCGTGAGTAAATTGCCATAACAAGGGTTATATCAGCTTTCATATTCATCACGGACTCATCAGCTTGCGTGGGCATGGCGTGTTGGTTGGGCTCTCGTATACAGCAAGCTTTACTCGGATCTATTAGAGGATACTTAGGGCTGTAACATGTGCCAACAACAAGCCACACTCGGCTCTATTAGAGGATACTTAGGGCTGTAACATGTGCCAACAACAAGCCACACTCGGCTCTATTGGAGGATACTTAGGGCTGTAACATGTGCCAACAACAACAAGCCAAACTCGGCTCTATTAGAGGATACTTAGGGCTGTAACATGTACCAACAACAAGCCACACTCGGCTCTATTAGAGGGTACTTAGGGCTGAAACATGTGCCAACAACAAACTACACTCGGCTCTATTAAAGGATACTTAGGGCTGTAACATGTGCCAACAACAACAAGCCACACTCGGCTCTATTAGAGGATACTTAGGACTGTAACATGTGCCAACAACAACAAGCAACACTCGGCTCTATTAGAGGATACTTAGGGCTGTAACATGTGCCAACAACAAGCTACACTCGGCTCTATTAAAGGATACTTAGGGCTGTAACATGTGCCAACAACAACAAGCCACACTCGGCTCTATTAGAGGATACTTAGGGCTGTAACATGTGCCAACAACAAGCTACACTCGGCTCTATTAGAGGATACTTAGGGCTGTAACATGTGCCAACAACAAGCCACACTCGGCTCTATTAGAGCAGGGGTCTCCAAACTACGGCCCACGGGCCGGATGCGGCCCGCGATGTCCTCTCATCCGGCCCGCGGAGATCTTTTTGTCCAAGGAAAAATCGTCTGTTGGTGATGGCTGAGGAACTTTGCCCAGAAAATGAAAGACATACCTGTAAGAAACTGGCCCCCGAATTGAAATTTGATGGGTAATGCGGCCCTCGGACTGAAACGTTTGGAGACCCCTGTATTAGAGGATACTTAGGGCTGTAACATGTGCCAACAACAAGCAACACTCGGCTCTATTAGAGAATACTCAGGGCTGTAACATGTGCCAACAACAACAAGCCACACTCGGCTCTATTGGAGGATACTTAGGGCTGTAACATGTGCCAACAACAAGCCACACTCGGCTCTATTAGAGGATACTTAGGGCTGTAACATGTGCCAACAACAAGCCACACTCGGCTCTATTAGAGGATACTTAGGGCTGTAACATGTGCCAACAACAAGCCACACTCGGCTCTATTAGAGGATACTTAGGGCTGTAACATGTGCCAACAACAAGCCACACTCGGCTCTATTAGAGGATACTTAGGGCTGTAACATGTGCCAACAACAAGCCACACTCGGCTCTATTAGAGGATACTTAGGGCTGTAACATGTGCCAACAACAACAAGCCACAATCGGCTCTATTAGAGGATACTTAGGGCTATAACATGTGCCAACAACAAGCCACACTCGGCTCTATTAGAGGATACTTAGGGCTGTAACATGTGCCAACAACAACAAGCCACACTCGGCTCTATTAGAGGATACTTAGGGCTGTAACATGTGCCAACAACAAGCCACACTCGGCTCTATTAGAGGATACTTAGGGCTGTAACATGTGCCAACAACAAGCCACACTCGGCTCTATTAGAGGATACTTAGGGATGTAACATGTGCCAACAACAAGCCACACTCGGCTCTATTAGAGGATACTTAGGGCTGACACTCGGCTCTATTAGAGGATACTTAGGGCTGTAACATGTGCCAACAACAACAAGCCACACTCGGCTCTATTAGAGGATACTTAGGGTTGACACTCGGCTCTATTAGAGGATACTTAGGGCTGACACTCGGCTCTATTAGAGGATACTTAGGGCTGTAACATGTGCCAACTATCTTATCTACTAGACTTGATGTGCAAACTATACCTGGCGAAAACGAAGCTATGGACTTTTTTAAAAACCGAACGTTTAAATTCGCCATCAGGTCGTACAGAAGCTATGCTTTGCTTGTACCGTTGCCCATACTCTAAACCTTCTTCACATCTTTACCTAAACGCTGACCACGGAAGCGAAAACATTATAGACGAGAAAAATGGCCCGTTGAGGAAGGATACACCGGGCGCTAGGTTGATAGTGCTGTCTCTTTTCTCTAAACTAAAACCAACCCACCCCCACCCCCACACCACCCCCCCCACCCCACACACCACCCACCCACCCCCACCCACCCCCACCCCACCCCCCAAAAAACATGTCTACCGTCCTATTCAACGAAATATAATTATATACTTTTTCCAGTGTCCGCCCCCTCCCCGAAAATTTTACCCCCGCCCCCGAAAATTTCAAGTACCCCACCCCTCTCCGGGGAGGAAAAAGTCTGAAAGAAACACTGGTGTCGCGCTTAGCCACTACGCGAAGAATTGCATTAAAGAAATTGCGAGAAAACCACTTTTTAGATTAGACACATTAATTAGGCGGTAATTTTATTATAGAGTATCGATGAAGAAATTTCTTTTGAGTTGGGGAGGGGGAGGGGCTCAGACGTTCTTACGCGGGGGGTGGGGCTTCGCCCCTACCCGAAGAATTGTATGCAAGAAACTCTTCACGCAAACCACTTAGATTAGACAACATTTCCTCTTTATTCAATGTTTACGCCAGAATCAATGACGTCATTATATTACTGTGAGATTATTTTCAACTCTATGCTAAATGTGTCGACGTCATACTTCGTTTTTCGAATTACTATGCATGTTTTTAAATTGCTTGTCTTTTCTCTAGAGCGTTCTTGTCAGACAGATAGATAGATAGATAGATAGATAGATAGATAGATAGATAGAGAGACAGCGAAACTATTATTATAGACGAGAAAAATGGCCCGTTGAGGAAGGGTACAACGGGCGCTAGGCTGATAGTGCTGTCTCTTTTCTCTAAACTAAAACCAACCCACCCCCCCACACACCACCCCCACCACCCCCCACCCCCACACACCACCCCCACACACCACCCCCCACACACCGCCCCCCACCCCCACCCCACCCCCCCACCCCCCAAAAAAACATGTCTACCGTCCCATTCAACGAAATATAATTATATACTTTTTCCAGTGTCCGCCCCCTCCCCGAAAATTCTACCCCCGCCCCCAAAAATTTCAAGTACCCCCACCCCTCTCCGGGGAGGAAAAAGTCTGAAAGAAACACTGGTGTCGCGCTTAGCCACTACCCGAAGAATTGCATTAAAGAAATTGCAAGAAAACCACTTTTTAGATTAGACACATTAATTAGGCGGTAATTTTATTATAGAGTATCGATGAAGAAATTTCTTTTGAGTTAGGGAGGGGGGGGGGGGGGGCTCAGACGTTCTTACGCGGGGGTGGGGCTTCGCCCCTACCCGAAGAATTGTATGAAAGAAACTCTTCACGCGAACCACTTAGATAAGACACAATTTCCTTTTTATTCAATGTTTACTCTCCGGTTTGAGATTATTTTCTACTCTGTGCTAAATGTGTCGACGTCATACTTCGTTTTTCGAAATACTATGCATGTTTTTAATTTCCTTGTGTTTTCTCTAGAGCGTTCTTGTCAGATAGATAGATAGAAAGATAGATAGATAGATAGATAGATAGATAGATAGATAGATAGATAGATAGATAGACAGACAGCGAAACTATTATATAGAATATTGTATTTACTATATTGCCTAACGAGTGTTTTAAAGGAAGTTTTTTTTCTTAAAATATAATAAATAAACTGTCTTGTAGGCGCAATATCAATAATCCTCAGTGTAGAAATGAACAGACCATTTTTAAAAAAACTTTTCCTTTAAAAAAATATAGAAAATAAAAACATAGTTTGAAGCAGAAATAAAACCAACAAGACAAAAGCGTTGAGATCGACCGAGTGAAGCTGCCCGTACACAGACACACGTAATAGACATGGAGCGAGCTGAGCTTAGGAAACACAATAACTGCATTCGTGTTTTGTTTTTCATGCGCTAGGCGAATCGACACTTTTAAAACAATCTTCAGCTCCATCAATGGAGAATTTTTTTTTATTGACGTTGAGTGCTATTCAAGTGTCGTGAAGGGGTGAGTGTTCCTGATGGAAACCACCACACGATACAACTGTAACAGTATTCTAAACAAAACTCTACAACTCGCACTCCTACAAGCCCTGGTACCAGAAATAATGTATTTGGTCGTATCAGATTTCGACTTGGAGCACCATTATCAATCTTGGGCTGATAGTGTCACACGGATGATGGCGTCGTACAGCGAGGGGATAAAGTCTGAGACAGGTCACATTTAAACACCACCGCTGTTTTTAGCTCCCTGAGACATGGGATAAAGTCTGAGACAGGTCACATTTAAACACCACCGCTGTTTTTAGCTCCCTGAGACATGGGATAAAGTCTGAGACAGGTCACATTTAAACACCACCGCTGTTTTTAGCTCTCTGAGACATGGGATAAAGTCTGAGACAGGTCACATTTAAACACCACCGCTGTTTTTAGCTCTCTGAGACATGGGATAGTCTGAGACAGGCAACACCTAAACACCACCGCTGTCTTTAGCTGTCTGAGACACACGGGATAAAGTCTGAGACAGGTCAGACTCCAACAACGCTACTATCTTTAGCTCCCTGAAATAACTTTTGAGACAGTTCAGAGTACTACAACACTCCCGCTGTCTGAGACCTTAGGATTACATAATTTTTACTCCTGTTATGACTCTCCACACTAACAAGAGCCGCTGGGAGTGTGAAGGCCGCCACTTGAGGCGATATCGTTCACGCCCATGCCCCTTAGTTAGCCGTGTTAGACCTATCAATCAACCCGGCCGTCCGGAACACTGACCAGACAGGAAAATGGGGAATTACCGAATCTGTAATTGATTGAATTCTGGACATTTGACCTTCTTCGATAGAATGCTTACTACGTTTTAATTAAAACACATCATTGATGCTTGCTAGAACTAGAGGCTTGGAATATTGACCAGAATAGGGTGAAAAAGATCCATGTTAGCTCGTATTTTAGAGACACTGTTAGGGATTATGCTCATATTAATTTAACACAAAACGAGGGGGTGGTTTATCTTTTCTTTAACAATGTGTCAAATGGGTGGGGTGGTCATTATGTCCTGTGTTATATAAAGCTAGTTTATTCCTAAAGCTAATTCAAAGTTTATTATCGAAATTATGGAGTTATTATGAAATTCTTTGATAACGTTATGTGGGGTAGGCTGGGGGTCTGACAATGTCATATTTCCGTGTTACTTTCAGCACGATCATTTTGTAACACCACGTTGTGTTTGATTGATTGACTGTAGCAGGTAAGTGTGTGAGCGCACGTGTGTTCGTATGTTTGTTAGTGAATAATATGTGTGTGATTTAGTGAGAACGATATATAAGCCTGGGTTGTACACGCTAACGAGAGAAAGCGCGTCAAACTAATGTTCGACCCACACTGAACGAGGCAGTAGCGGTCAGTCCTTCAGTTATTAAATGTGTTCCTGATCTATCTAATAGAAATCTCCCCACGTGTATAGATAAAAAAAGATGATTTTTGAATTACCTTGAATGATCTCGGTGAGACGGAATAAACTTGACACATTCTCGCTTGTGGAAGGTTTTCTCCACCCACGATCTCTGGCTCTGTAACACATCATGGCACACATTAACACATCAAACATCACATCAGGCTACGTTATGCTTACAAATTAACGACAGGGGCGTTTTTGTTAAATCATCTTAAACAGGTTGATAGCAGTTTTAACAAAGTTGTAAAGATGTTACCAGGAAGTATTGTTAACTAAAGTTTAAAACAAAATTGTAAAGATGTTACCAGGAAGTATTGTTAACTAAAGTTTAACAAAGTTGTAAAGATGTTACCAGGAAGTATTGTTAACTAAAGTTTAACAAAGTTGTAAAGATGTTACCAGGAAGTATGTTAACTAAAGTTTAACAAAGTTGTAAAGATGTTACCAGGAAGTATTGTTAACTAAAGTTTAACAAAGTTGTAAAGATGTTACCAGGAAGTATTGTTAACTACAGTTTAACAAAGTTGTAAAGATGTTACCAGGAAGTATTGTTAACTAAAGTATAACAAAGTTGTAAAGATGTTACCAGGAAGTATTGTTAACTAAAGTTTAACAAATTTGTAAGGATGCTACCAGGAAGTATTGTTAACTAAAGTTTAACTAAGTTGTAAAGATGTTACCAGGAATTGTTAACTAAAGTTTAACAAAGTTGTAAAGATGCTACTAGGCCGTATAAACACCTACGTAAATCGATTAAATTGTTTTAAAAATCTACTAAAAAATTTTCAATCTCGACAAATCTATGTTGTACGTAGACTATTTGATCTTTTTGGTCGGGCCTCTAATCAGAATCTCCAGCTTTTATTACATCCCTGGCTATTTTGAAGCTGAGCATCGGCTACCACTTCCGTTTCCCCTCACCGTGGTTTTATCAAGAGATTTGAAACTTCACACGGAAATGAATTGAACGAGTGTGGGTGGGTTTTTTTTTCCACTTGAGTAATTTCTGTTTTAAGCGATCTCTCGAACGAACGACTTCAAGTAAATAATGGCTATCTTATATTCTGATATCTATACACTTATAAGCATCTCACCAAGTTATACACACCGTGATTCTCCTCACATGTGCACTATTATTAGGTTTTCTAAATCGATGACGCACACTTTGATGTTTACTAATTTTAAAAAAAAATCTTAATAACGATGTATGGTAAACATTCGTTAATTTAAAGGATTAAAGTGATTTTTGTTATAGAAATAATCGACGAAAAAGTTCTTAGGTGGATAAAAATATTAAAAGCAAATCCAGAAAGTAAAGAAAGCGGAAGTCAATGAGCCAATGGCGCAAACCATGTTGACACGAACTATTAATTTTTTTTAAGGTAAAACTCTCCAATATATTGTAATTACGAACGAAGAAGAAGATGCCCCGAAAGGCCTTTAGTTTTATAATAGAACTGTTAGTTTTTTTTTCATGCTTCAAAAGTACTTATACATTTTTACTCTATATATGTCTTTTCCACGACCATGCGCTTCTGCTCGTGGGCAGATAATATGATTTTATTTAAAGTATTGCATTTAAATTAAAATCTGAACGGTATTGTCGTTAAGTAAAAACGTTAACAACAACTCTCTTTTCTACTCTCTTTAGAGGAATTAATATGTTCAATAATCGAAAAAAAAGAAAGGTAAAAAAAACAATGAAATATATAAACCCTATTTTTTTCTTGATGTCAAATTCGAGCCTTATAGAATACCCTTGAAATCATTTGCGTTGAATTTTGTGATGAACAAAATAAAAAAAAAAAGATCTTTATAATAAGTGTTTGACTGACATATATTTTATAAAGTTGCACTGGACTTGAAACAGAACACACAGCAAATGTTTATTTATCGATTTTCAATTGAGAAAAATTGTCGGCAACGTTGACGTTTTTCATTTGCATTACTAAAATGCACCAATGAAATAATTATGATATAAACGATTTAGCTTATATAATATTTGGAGCGAAAAAAATGAGGTAATATAATAATACACAATAATTTAAGTAAACAGTAGCCTTGTGCAAGAGCTAAAATATGTTTTTGGGATCACAACATAACAAATTATAAAAGGAATTTGCCAACCCTGTCATAGACATTAAAATGTGAACATAAAACAATTATAATAAAAAGATTGCACATATGCATTAAAAAAAAGAAAATAAAATGATTTTCTGTTTATATATAAAAATGCTCAACTATTTATATAGCCTACCTATTTAAAGAAGTGTGTGGCTCATAACATCTTATTAAGGGTGTTCAATACATAACAAAGCTAACAACATTACATTACACTAACAAGTTTCAACCTATGACGAAACATAAAGCGCGAAGGTAAAAATGTTAAGCACCAGCAAGCAAGTTAAGCTTGAAATTAAAAACAAAATGTTATAAAAACGTTCATAATAACAAGCTTGTATGTAGGCACTAAAACAAATACAAACATTTAATTTCTTCTGCACATGTAACAATTCTCAACCACTTACAGAGATACACAGTAAAAAAAAAGTCCATCATTTTGTACACAGTTTTAAATAGGTGCAAAAATCGATGTCGACTCACATCAATCCAAATATCTAAATTTAAGTGACCAGCTACAATAATAATTGCAAAAATTGACATTGCGTAAAGTCAAAATAAGATAGCTTTCGTATTTGCCATAAACTTAGTAATTTTGTTCTAATAAATCCAAGATATAATTAAATTAACTGTTTTTCTTCTAGCTTAGAATAAATAAAATAAAAATCCTTGTCAAATTCAGTATTGATCCTTCAAACAAAATATTATTTTTCCCCACGCTCTTCTAAATGTATTAGATGTAACAAACAACAAAGTCGACAATCGCTTTTTAACAGTAGGATGGCTATAGTTTTTTTTTGTTTCTACATGGCAATTTTTTACTGAAAAGTTTTTTTTCTGAAAATTTCTAATTTAATCTAGGCAGGGAAAAAAAAGGAACCCCACTATTTTAATGTATTATATTTCTAAAAATGTATTATTAAAATTATTACTAAGGAAAAATGTAAATAAGATACATCTGAATGTAACTGTGCAGTAAAATGAAATAAATAACGAGAAGACAAGATTTGTCAAGACTACCGAGATAAGAATATTCCATTAAAAAGACGAGACGTTTTATCTAAGAAACAAAAAGAATCTTTCAAACTACACATCACATCTTGTGTTGCCCATAGCAACAGCTAATGGCCTTAATACATCCGTTTACTCCAATTCAATTAACGTAGTATTTTTTATACTCGTCCAATAAGCTGAGTGTGACAGTTCATAGGCATGATGGACTTAATCTATATGTCAATACTGTACTGTTGCTCTTGAGGCTGGTGACAACTTGATGCTGGGAGAGTACGGCATTCTATTTCATTGTATACAGTTATGCGCAGGCTCTAAATCGATAATTTTTAAAGTAAAAACAGAAGAAGTAATTGTAAAGCATATTTTTTGAGATATTGGAAGCTGTTGTTAACAAATATTTTTAAAAAATGTTTTATTGTTATCGGGATAAATTGTTATAGAATCAACTCTGCTGCTTCATGTATAGTACTCCACCGTAAAGGCTCTCTTCTAGCTTGTGTTTTACGTGTTGTATACCACACAGTGAAGATGTATAGGGGAGAATGTAAAGGCTGCTAGAAAAGTTTCCCACAGATTCAACTGAAATGGGCTAGCCATGCATGATTATGTTTGCTGGGTTCTAGAGTAGCCGCACGTTAAGCACCAGGGACAGGGGGGAGCAAGGGAGATAAAAGAAAGACTAGCCCCGCGTAAAAAATTAAAAGGCTGCAAATATTTTTTTTTCAAAGCACGCCTGGGATCAACTACTTGGCACAAAGCTGCAACGAGATGTGAACGTTGGCAAGCTGAGCGAATAAAATCATTGACTGCATGGGGGGAATCTAAGTTTTTAAAAGATGAATATTAATATCTGGGGACGGTTGGGTGGTGGAGGGGGGGGGGAGATCAAAGAAAAAATAATGTGGATGGTTGTGTCTACATGTTTTGTCAATAAATCTTTGATTGTTTAGAAGCACAGTTAATCAAGTCAGTATTTTGTAATATGATGTATTGTATTAGTGGTCTTGATTAGTTTATGTTTTACTACGATGATTAGACCAATTGAAACAACTTCATACGAAGGTATGGCTTGAATCTGATTTCCCATCTGACTTTATTAGTAAAATGCTGCTTGCTTATACACTATCGCTTCAATCACTTCAATCCCCAAACTAAAACTCCAAGATAAACCGAGTTAAAAAGCTCATTCAAAAAAATAAAAATAAAGCTATTGTGGCAGAGAGAAAATCAATACAAGTCTGTCATAGATACAAGTCGTCAACTTAATTTTTTCGAAGGCAGTTGAATAATTGACACGTTTCTGTGTCACGTTGCAAAGATGTGTTGAATGGTCTTGTAGAACAGCCAGATATTTGTGTCACGGTGCAAGCAAAGATGTGTTGCATGGTCTTGTAGAACAGCCAGATATTTGTGTCACGGTGCAAGCAAAGATGTGTTGCATGGTCTTGTAGTAGAACAGCCAGATATTTGTGTCACGGTGCAAGCATAGCTGTGTTGTATGGTCTTGTAGAACAGCCAGATATTTCTGTCACGGTGCAAGCAAAGATGTGTTGTATGGTCTTGTAGTAGAACAGCCAGATATTTCTGTCATGGTGAAAGCAAAGATGTGTTGTATGGTCTTGTAGTAGAACAGCCAGATATTTGTGTCACGGTGCAAGCATAGCTGTGTTGTATGGTCTTGTAGTAGAACAGCCAGATATTTGTGTCACGGTGCAAGCAAAGATGTGTTGTATGGTCTTGTAGAACAGCCAGATATTTGTGTCACGATGCAAGCAAAGATGTGTTGTATGGTCTTGTAGTAGAACAGCCAGATATTTGTGTCACGGTGCAAAGATGTGTTGTATGGTCTTGTAGAACAGCTAGATATTTGTGTCACGTTGCAAAGATGTGTTGTATGGTCTTGTAGAACAGCCAGATATTTGTGTCACGGTGCAAGCAAAGATGTGTTGTATGGTCTTGTAGAACAGCCAGATATTTGTG